ATTTTGCATCCTTGGCGCAAGCGATCCGATTCGAGCCTGACTCCGTGGCCGAGGCAGCCCGGTCCGACGGCGGCTTCGGTGCGATCTGCCGCATCGCGGCCTCCTGCGGTGCGCGGCTGCCTTCGCACCCTCGCGTGGGGGGGGGGGCGACCGCTCTGGCCAAGGCTGCGACGCGCAGAGGAAAGAGCAGCTCTCCGACCCTGGAGAGATAGCGACGATCCATCGGGACGAGGATGCATCGGGGATCTCTGGCGGGGGGCTGGCGGGGTCTGGAGGACGTCTCCTGAGCATTTTCTTTGGGTGGAGGGCTCAGGGTGAAATCCATTTGCACCTCGAAAATCACTCCGTCTTGTGATTCACCTTTTGCAGATTTCGGGGATGGACAGACCCGCCTTTAGTAAGACGTGGTTTAGTGAAAACGACCTGAGGCCCAAACCTGGCGGGCGCAAGCCTGGAAAATAACGGCCACGGCGCCCTCTCGAGAACCGAAAACGGACAATGCACTAATCGACGTGCCACTGTTGGGGGTTCTGTCCACCCCCGAAGATTCAAACCTCGGAAAACAACCGAAACGGCACTTCAGACTGCACCCTTTGCCCTTGACCCACAGCAAATGCTCGGGCATCGGGAGCCACGGCCGTCCCGGACGCTCCCGAGAGCGCTCCCGAGAGCGCTCGGGAGCGATGCGTCCGCATGCAGGGCCTGCATGGGCCTGTGCGATCCTGGCACCACGCCAGGGTTGCTGGGGGAACCGAAAAAGGACCCATCCCGCTGCCCCCAGGCCCCCTCTGGGGTGCGTCCTGGCCAAGGTGTCGAGTGGCGACGCGGGCCTCTCGGGAAGGCCGAAGCGAGGAGAGGGCAGCGATAGTGGCACACGCCGGTGGGAAGAAGTAGGTAAAGACATGAAGCAGGAAGGCGGAAAAAGCAGACTAGGCCCAGGCCCTCCCGGAGAGCAGCTAAACACAGCAGGTTTGGACGCCCGAAATGGGTAGGAAAGAATGGGTACAATGGCCAACAGCATATGTTGTCCCAAACCAACAGCGGCCACTGTTGGGCAGGCGGCCTCCTGTCTCAAATGGACACAGGCCGCGGCTGCGCGGACAGCGAGTCCTGTTCGAAATGAACAGGAACTGCTGTTGGGCATCTCACCCATTCTCTCCGTACCCATTTCGGGCTTCCAGAGCAAGAGCAGGTCGATGCTTGCAGGGGAAAGGCGCTTGGGTCGAAGCGAATTGGGATCTGGGGGCCCAAACACACACCCACGCTCAACGATTATGTCGGGCGTGTCCCACTACAGGGGGAGCGTCGACGGAAAATTTACAAAAACGTGCCCCCAAAAAGGTGAAAAAATGCAAAACAAAAAAAAACATACTGTTTTTTATGTTGGACTATCTTTTGACTATTTGTGTGTGTTTTTATTCTTCTTCAAAAACCCCCCCTGCAAGAGCAGCCGGCAGGCCCGGCTGCCACGGACTCCGAGGGGCCCGCCCGCCGTGTGGGCCCGCCCCCCCCCCCCCCCGCGTGTGGCTCCTGCCCCCGAGCGCCGCGCGCGCACGGGGGCGAGAGGCGCGCTGCGGGCGGCACGGCCCCCCGGAGGGCCCTCCGGGGCTTCGGTCGGGCCTGTCCCCCTGCAGGGGGACGGGCCCGACTTCATGCTGCAGGCCCTTCCTCTCCCGCCCGTGCCGGACTCTGAGCGCTAGCCAGAGCCGAATGCAGGCTAGTCCTCACATGATGCTCGAAGCAACGCTGGCGGGAGCAAGCGATCAGCCTACAAAGGGCCCCTAACCCTTTGGGAGGGGATGTAAATTTGGCGGGCCAAGAAAACTGGGGCTAGGGGGTCTTTTCTGCATATGTATCGAACCGCACAGAAATATTATCCCTAATGCAAAGGCTGGGACCTCAGTGAGGCCACGCCCTCATGATATACTATTCGGGTTCGGGGTTCTCTTGCTCTCGGTGAGCAACCGCGTGCAACTCTGACGGAGGGCGTGAACACCTCTCGCTGCAGGCCACCTGGACGTAATACACCATAGCACAAAACAACATGCGGCAATCCGTGCCGTGACGGCGCCGACGCTGGATCCAGGCACTGGAATAATCGGTCAACCTCAAACGATCGCAGCCTCCTGGCAACGTGACGGCATTCAAGAACGGCCGATGCCAGCGCTGGGGTCGCTGGTGCGTCGACTCGACACCGACCTTCCGTACACGAATGTACTTCCGGTAGTCTGCACGGACCTCCGAGCGATTGTGTTGATGTTGTCTGTTGTTCCTCGACGGTGATAGAACACCAGGCGGTGGATGACAGACAAGACCATCCTGGTCCTCCTCCCTCTCCCAGACATTCTGCGGCTCCATTAGATCAAGACGGCCACCGTTCTGCAACGTACTGGACCTGTGCAATCTGGTGTCGGGGCCCTGGGTCGTCAAGAAAAGAACATCTCACGATGAAACACAGATCCCGCAGGAAGCGGTCGAGAGGCCCAAGGGTCCATGTCTCGACAATTCTCGAGCCGCGATGATTGGGCCTCCTCCCCTCTCTCACGATCGTGCACGATCGTGGGCTCTTCTGGGTGACATCGAACGACCTCGATTTCCCGCGACCTCGCACGTCCGTTGGGTTCGCACGGCCCGTTCTACGAAAATGTTCCACAACATCGCGCCCACTCTCGGACTCCAGCCTGCCGCGCCCCTTCTCTCACGACGGAGGGGGGGAGCCACTCTCTCCACGTGTGCTGCATCACTGTCGCTCTCCTTCACTCCGTCCATCTTCTTCGTCATCTCTGGCCGGTTCTCTCTGTTCACCGGCCCTTCTGAGAAGTGGTAGGTTTGTCTCTTCTCTGCTTCCTCCTCCTCATCACCGCTCACCCCTTCTGTCCCTGCCCCCCACCCCGTTCGCCCTCCTCAGCCAGATGTCGTTGACGTGAGGCCAGGAAAATACCTGCCCAGCAGCAGCGTATTCAATACTCCCCTTGCAGCCACGACAGCAGCACTCAGGTATCAACTGAGGGGCCTTCGTGAGAGAGATTAGGGGCTATGAAGCCCGATGAAGGGGCCACTGAGCCAGATGAGGCTGGACTAAAGCCAAGATCGAACCAAATTGAACTGTGCTACGCGGTTTTAAGCAGGGTGATGCCGGACTAGGCAGGTCTTTGACCATGGATACACTAACACTGATGCAACATGTAATATCCCAAGAGTTGCAATCTAGCAACGCTGATGATCTGATTGACTGCAATGGCTGACAGCATGTCGATTGAAATCTGCCCAGCCGTGCAGTCCACAAGATACAAGCCGACAAGCGGCCGACTGAAAGAGACACTACTACAAGTGCGCACGGTGGAAAAGCCTATTCTGATGATCACGCGGTTCCAAAATAATACAGAGCCAAATCATCACTACTCGGCGGTGCTTGCCTTGCGAAACCGAGCACCGCAACGGTCTGACATATACCGTAGTACCCCGCAATTGCGGATAATAGTGGGAGAGCGGTGGCGACATCGGCAATCTGCAAGGCTCTGAAGAAACCGGCCGCAGGCGTCACATTTTTGTAAGTATGCAACGAGCCCGCCGCAGGCGCCGACTGTTTTGTTAAACACTGTGGCTGGGTCTTGCGTGGGTCGCGGGTGGGTCGCAGGTGGGCCGCGCGTGGGTCGCGGGTGGGTCGCGGGGGGGTTGGTCGCGGCAGGGTCGTGGGGTGGGTCGCGGGTGGGTCGCAAGTGGGTCGCAGGTGGGTCGCGGGTGGGTCGAGGGCCGGGTCGCGGGTTGAACGACGACAACAATCAACAAACAACAAGAAACGCAACAACAACAACAATCCGCACCGCGGAAACTCACTTCAGCCACGCGCCCAATGACAGTGAATGACCATTCGGCCCCCTAACTCTGACTTGTCATCCCGCAGATCACTGGACGAGCTTCACTGCTCGGAGAGAGACGCATCAAGCAGATTCGGTTTCAAGAATTCTCGACGTCGTATTTCGCTTGGAGCTCGCTCCGAGACTCTCTTTTTGTCGTCACCTTGGCCTGCAAAAAAACAATCTCCAAACGTGGGCTGCTGCTTTGTCTGAATTCTCTTGTGCGGGACAGGATGAGTGGAATTTGAATCCGGAAATCGGATCACATCGGAGTGTGCATGAGATCGGGCTTCATACATAGGCGTAGCCACGGCGTCAAGAGGGGATTGGACAGGCTGCGCCAAGATGCACAATACAACACAACACAGAAACGAGGCCGCATAGCCTCGTCGGAGTGTCGGGATCGGATCGGATTTGGGTCAGCCTTCCTCGTCGTCACCATCCCCTTCCCCTTCCTTCCGTTTCCTATCCTCTCCCGCTCCTCCTAGTTCTCCAGCTGCTGCTGCTGCTGCTCTTGCACCTCATCCTCGTGGTGCTTCCTCGTTCTCGTCCTGCTGCTCACCCCTCCTCTGCCTCCTCCCCCCTCGCCAGCCCACAACTGCCCCACGACTCTCGGATTCACGCCCAACGTTGGGCCAAATCCTGCAACTGCCATTCGGGGATGTCCTTCTTCTGGACATCCATTAACGGGCGAAGGACGGTCTAACATAAACTTTTTCGCCGTCGGGGGCACCTGCCCCTGGGCGGCTGGAAAGTTTATTCCCCTACGGTGCCACCGTAGGGGAATAAACTTTCCAGCCGCCCAGGGGCAGGTGCCCCCGACGGCGGAAAGTTTATGTTATACCGTTCTTCTTCGCTCGTTGAATCCTCGATGGGGTCGGAGTAGATGGGGTCGGAGGATCGCGCCGCATCGCCGATACATCGGCGATGAATCAGTGATGCATCGGCGATGCATCGGCGATGCACCAGCGATGCATCGTCGACGGGGTCGATGCATCGGCGACGTCGACGTTAAGCAAATCGGGCTCCACATCGAGCCGCATTGGCTATGCATCGGCGATGCGGAGCCATCCTCCGACCCCATCTGCTCCGACCCCATCTGGGAGCCCTAGAAGGTCGGCGGATTCGACACGTTCTGTTTGTTCAGGCGGCCCCGCCGCCCCCCGCCCAGCAGCACAGCTCCGGCCGCCTCGCGTGCCACGGCGGCCAGCAGGCCTCCGGCGGCGGCCCGGAGGCCGCCCCCGACGACGGCGGGCAGCAGAGCCCCCGGAGCTCCTCGCGCACCTGCCGGGGCGCCTCCCGGAAGCACCAGGCGCCGGGGGCCCAGTCGGCCAGGTCGGGGGGTGGCGGCGCCAGGGCGCGCAGGAGCCGTGCCGCCCACGCGGAGCCGTTGTCGACCACGTCCGCAGGGAGGCCGTCCAGGCGCGGGCCGTGCAGGTCGACATAGTGGTTCCAGCGGAGGAAGCCTGCCGCACTCCCCTCGGCGTGGACCGTCCCGCGACGCCCGATCGCCATCTCGGAGGCCACCGCCAGCACGTTCTCCGGGTTCACCACGGGGTCCCCTGCCTGCAGGTCCAGGTACGTCGGGGCGGCGCCGCCAGCGCGCGGCGCCTCCTGGCGAGGCTGCCGGTGCTGCAGGGCCTCTACGAGGTACGGGCTGCGCCGGCCCAGGCGCCCCGAGAAGTGGACCCAGGGGATGTCCAGCGTCGCAGCGTCTCCGCGGGCCCTGGACAGGCGCTCGAGCACCCTGCCCACGCCGAAGGGGCCCCCGGAGGGCACGGCCAGGTACTGGTCGAGAGCCATGTCGTTGAGCAGCCAGTCCGCCCGCCCCTTCACCTGGAAGAGGCAGTGGTTCTGGGCGAGGTGGTTGAAGAGCTCGCGCACCCGCAGGCGCCCGGCGCCGTGCTCCAGGAGCTCTGGCACTAGGGGCGATAGCCGCGAGCCCGGGACTCGGCGGAGGAGCTCGGCGGGGATGCCTAGCAGTTCAAGCTTGCCCTTCGCAGTATCATCTATGTCGTACAACATGATCATCTCCACGCCAATGGCAACATGATAATGCAACCACTGCTGGACCACATGCTCCACTTCGTGGAAGCGGAAGACAGGAGCCATGCATCCAACGACCTTGCGACGTGTGACGGCCGTTTCGACGCAGATGTTCAGCACAGGCAGCGCCCACGAGCCAGCATCCAAGCGAACCCTCACTGTGCTGCTGCTGTGACCAGGTGGCACAACGCTGTTTGCAACATGCTCCGGCACGGGGCACTGCAACACGTTGAACTCGCCGAAATGATTGACCGCTGCACCGGTAGACTCTCCAAGCTCGTTGCCAGCGACGTCTAGGAAGATGCATCTCCAGGCCGACAGCTGCACAACAGGCACCGAGCGCAAAGTGGGGTACTCAAATAATGTGTGAGCCCACAGCACGCATGGGCCACCTGGCGCGACGTACACGAGGAACTCGAGCGTCCATCGCATCGAGGGCCCGCCGCTGCAGTGCCGGTGAAGGCTGACACCATGCACGAACACACGAACGGTGCCATTGGCCAGAAGGCCAAGGTCAGCAACGCCATCCGCACCGGCGGCATCGCACAAGCTCGTTGCCACCGGCGCGGCCGTCCCGTGTGCATCCTGTCGATCCGAAGCCGCGCCGCAAGATGGCGACGGGCGAGGGGCACCGCGAAGCCCCCGCACCCGGCCTTCTGGAGACCGCACCTGCAGCAGCAGCGCCCTCAGCGGGGCGCGGACGCGGGCGCGCGCCGATGCCGCCCTGGAGCGGCAGGCCGCCCAGACCTCGCGCAGCATCGCCTCGCAGCACGCCCTCCACCTGCCCCAGCGCCGGGCGCCCCGGCTCGCCCTGAGGAGCCGCAGCCCGCGTCGGAGAGGGCCTCCGGCAGAGACAATAGGGGAGCAGAGAGTGGCACAAACAGAACAGCTCGGAGGTCCGCGCGGACTGCTCGGCTCGGCGCCGGACCCCCCCTCCCTGGCGCGCGGAGCGCGCCAGGGGCGGCGCCGGAGGCGCCGCCAGGGGGCTCCAGCGCCGATCCGAGAAAGCCGCGCGGGCCTCCGAGTTGTGATGCTTATGCCACTTCTTGTTCCCCTAGACTCGGGAGCGGCCAAGAGGGGGGTGTCAAAGAGGGGGGGGGTGCAAATCATGACCGGCGGCATGTGCGCGGCCCAGCGGGGGGGCCGGGAACGTAATGAAATAAGAAGAGGCGCCATGAAATCTGGGGAAAGATCATGGCCCCCGCCATGATATCCCCCCCCCCTAGTCATCACCCCCCTCTTTTCCGCCCCCGATAGACGAGGCGAAGCAGGAGCGCATGTCGCCCCGCGGAGGACCTCCGCGCCCCCGCGGCGCGCGCCGCCGAGACCATGAGCAGGCACGAGCGGGCGCCGGGGGGCAGCAGGGGGCCCAGGCCCTCGAGCGCCGCGCGCACGAGGCCGAAGCCCCAGCGCGCCATGTCGGGCCGCTCCGGCAGGAAGGCCTCCGTGGCGAGGGGGCCGCCTGCCAGCCATCGCCGCAGATGTCTTACCAGCCTGGAACATGTCCCTGTCCCTATGTTGGGCCTCGCCTCATCACGATGGCGATCTTAGGGATTTCCTCGGTTTCTGAGGGTGTGTCCCTAAGATCGTCATCTCCTGTTGGCGTGTCTATCTTGGGGATGGGGATGAGCTCGAGGCTGGTGAATTGCTGGCGTACCCGGAGAGCAGCCCGTAGAGGTGGAACGAGCCAGCGAGCGCTGCCACGGGGTCCACGAGGTGCCCCGGAAACGCAGAGCAGCTGCCCCGCAGCAGGGCGCCGGGAGATCGGGCGCGGTAGAGCCACATGCAGCCGTCTGCCCTGCAGAGGGGCTCGACCTCGAAGAAGTCGTTCGAGTCTGCGGCGAGTCGACCATGAGGGTGATGACCACTTGTGCTGCTGGAGGCTGGGCGCCACTGCCATAACAGCACAAGGGAGATTCGGATCCCGGGGAGCATTTCTTGAGCCGTCACATCTTGAGCCAAAATGGCTACGGGAAAAAGAGGGTTCAACACAGCTGGAAGGACACGGTGATGTCAGATGATGGCGGGAGCGCGCCGAGCTTGCCCTTCAGGAACTCCCCCTCCACACTCCCCCATCCACGCTACCCCATCCATCCTCCCTCCCATGTCCCGATCACAACACAGTTGGAAGGACATGGTAGAAGGGAGTCGGATGTCAGATGATGGCGGGAGCGCGCCGAGCTTGTCCTTCGTGCACTCCCCCTCCACACTCCCCCTCCGCCCTACCCCATCCATCCTCCCTCACATCTCCCGATCAAAACGTGCCCATTCTACTACTTACCAGCCTCGAACTTATCCCTATCCCTAAGATTGACACGCCAGAAGGCGATGACAATCTTAGGGATCCGCCCTCAAAAAATAAGGGAATCCCTAAGATTGGCATCGTGATGCGGAGATGCCCATCATAGGGATAGGGAAATGTTCCAGGCTGGTAAACTGCGCATCGCTGCGGTCGTGGCTTGCTCAGCTCCGCTCCCCGCCACAGCTGAGCACCTCCTTCTCACATCCGACAGGCCCAGGGGCAGCTGGCGTCTGCCTGTCCAGCTTGGAGGAGGAGGAGGAGGAGGAGGAGGAGGAGGACCAATGCAAACCCAAGGGTCAGCAACGATGTTTGAATTACCCCTCCCTCCAAGCTCCCTCCTCACAGGCCCCTGCAACGGTTCATTTCCATTGAAGGAACTGCCTCGTTGGAAGACAACCGTTTGAAGACCTTGAAGAATGCGAAAACATTGCTCTTGGGACGTCCACGCCACGGATGAACCTGACTGCTACGTCCTGACGATCTGGAACCGTGCAAAAACGTCATTTTGGGGGCTTCAACACCGCGAATCAACATAACTGTTGCACCCGCAAAATCCAGAACCCTTCCACAACACCATTTCTGGTACGCTGCTCATGAGAATTCGTGAAACTCTTGCAACTGTTTGGAACGAATGTACGCGGCGCTAAAACGAGAACCACATTTTGAAAACCATCCTCCCTCAATCCGTGAAGCCCTTGCAAATGTTTTAAACGAATGTGCGCGGCGCTGAAGCGAGAACCACATTTTGAAAACCACCCGCCCTCAACCCGTCAAACTCTTGCAATTTCTGAGAATGAATGTGCGCGGCGCTAAAACGAGAACCACATTTTGAAAACCGCCCGCCCTCAGTCCGTGGAACTCTTGCAATTTCTGAAAATGAATGTGCGCGGCGCTAAGACGAGAACCACATGTTGAAAACCACCCGCCCTCAATCCGTGAATCTCTCGCACTTTCTTCGAAAGACTGTGCGCGGCGCTAAGGCGAGAGCCACATGTTGAAAACGACCCGACCTCACTCCGTGAAAATCTCCATGTTTTAGGAAACCAATGTGCGCGACGCTAAAACGAGAACCGCATTTTGAAAACCACCCGACCTCAATCCGTGAAACTCTTGCTAGTAAAAAAAACGATGCGCGGCGCTAAAGCGAGAGCCACATTTGGAAAACGACCCGTCCTGCATCTGTGAAGCTGTTGCCACTTGTTAAGCTTCAGGGTCATCATTTGTGAGGAAGTCTCAAGCGAAACGCCCGGCCCGGTCCTCCCCTCGCCATAGCCGAACACCTCCTTCTCACATCCGACAGGCCCAGGGGCAGCTGGCGTCTGCCTGTCCAGCCCTGCAGATGAGGAGGAGGCGGAGGAGGAGGAGGACTCCTTGTCTGACCCACCCAAGGCCGTGGGAGGGCCCAAGGGGGGCCCGACAACGGAGGAGCGACACTCGGGACAGATTTCGCGGCGGCCGGCGCCGCTGGCGCTGCTGCGGTCTGCAGGCCTTGATGCCGCGCTCGTACACCTTGAAGGCGTCCTCGAAGTACTTCCGCTCCTGCCCGCCCACGGCAGCCCGCTGCCATCCTCTCAAGACATGCTGTTGGTTCTGCTTGCTTTTTTTCATGTCCATCATTACCAGCCTGGAGCATGTCCCTATCCCTATGCTGGGCATCTCCTCATCACGATGCCAATCTTGGGGATTCCCTCATTGTTTGAGGGCGCATCCCTAAGACTGTCATCGCTTTTTGGTTTGTCAATCTTTGGGATAGGGATAAGTTCGAGGCTGTTAACTCTTTTCTTTTTTTCAAGCGCAGCCGAGCTCTACTCGTCCGAGCCACAATCACGCTCCGCACGGATCTGCATCGCAAGGCTCAGGGGTCCATCTCCGACAAGAGACTGAACATGAATTCCATTCAATGTCTGGACAACGCTGTCTAGTCGCTACATCCAGACAGCCAGTCCAGCACCACAGCTGGGAAATAGCTTCCCGACGTCCGCCACCAACCCGGGCATTGGGGGGGGAGGCCCTGGGTACGGGGAATGCTTGGGCGGGCGGGCGCACGTCTGGGCGTGGGCGCAGCGAGAGAGCACCACAACATGTGGGTGGGGGGGGCTCCAGAGCTCCCCCCTACAGGGCAGGGATTTTGTTTTAAATATATGATTTCGCATACATGATTAATGTATGACTAAATCGATGCATAAACCCATCATTGGTTTAATACCAAATCCCTGCATTTTCAATACATGATCTGCACGCGGAGCATATGTTAAAAACGGCACTGTACGCAAAATCGTTGCCGTTGACCCGGGGGTTCGGCCCGGGTAACGACCGCAGGTGGCAACATCCGATCCCTACCCCCACCAAGCATCGACTCTCCTGAGTCGATGGGAGGCGGAGGTAGTGTTCGGATTTCGCCACGTGTTCGAAGAATTCCCTAATTCCTAACCCTACCCCCGTCGTCCATGGAGCTGCCTGAATCGTTGATCGGCGAGGGTAGGGCTCGGAATTCGTGGAGTGCCACGAGCACCGTGGTATACACGCGAGTGCCGGCATGTTTGGGGAGGGGTCCAGCCCCGCCCCACCCCCTACGTTTGATCGATCGGGTGTTGGCGGAAGTGCCCCTGGCCCAAGGTCCCCCCAAGATTTCCAAGGAGGACACTATGGCATTCAGTGTACCCGTCACGAGGCCCAGGAGGCCCTAAAATGGTGCGAAACATTAAAGGAACATTGGACACTAAGCCAGATTAAGCGGAGCTATATAAGCTGAATTGAGCAAGCTTATGCCGGATTAGGCGGGTCTTCGATCACGGATATACCAGCGCCGATGCGGACGTTAGCCTCCGAGGAGTTGCAGTCTGAGAGGGGGTGAGATAAAGAACAACTGTGCATTTGAAATGAGGTGTGGTGACAGACCGTGTGGTGGCCTCGAAAATCTGCAAAGATCTCACCGCACGTCCGTCGCCGCACTGCGCTGCAGAACCCTGGAGGCCCCAATCGCCCGAGACAACCTCGGAGACTGACCCACGTCCCAACACCGTGCGGCCACCCCGAACGCCGACCGAGTCACCGCACCGTGTGGTCAGCACGCCGTCCAGTGGCCCTCGGGAGTAAGCAGCGCGTCCTCCTCCTCCTCCTCCTCCTCCTCCTCCTCCTCCTCCTCCTCCTCGTCCTCCTCGTCCTCTTCCTCTTTCTCCTCCTACTCCTCCTCCTTCTTCTCTTTCTCGTGTTCCTCCTCCTCCTCCTCCTCCTCCTCCTCCTTCTGTTCCTCCTCCCCCTCCTCCTCCTCCTCCTCCTCCTCCTCCTCCTCCTCCTCCTCCTCAAGGTGCTCGTCTTCATCGCTGCCACCAGCAGCACCACCGTCAAGACCATGATTGCCCTTGTATCCCCCGCGGTCGGCGAGGCGAGGAAGGCGGCACACGGGTGGGCGCACGGGCCGGCATAGACTCCAACCGCCCCGCGTCAGGCCCCCATCCCTCGGGGCAGGAGCTCCCACCGATTGCAGCTGCACGGTATGGCAAACAGGCGGAGGGACTTCCAGACCTCGACGACGGCAGCATGCAACTGCCGCCGACAGTCTCCAGGCATCGAGAACCACGTGACCCCTGCCTGCTGCAGCAGTGGTGGAGCGATCCAGCCATTGCTCCTTCTCTTCGTCGCCCTGCCTAATACCTTCTCCCCCTCCTGCTCCCTACTTTCCACCCGCACCTCGTCTTCGTCTCGCTACTCGTCCTCACTTGCCTCCTTCTCCTCCTCCTGCTCCTCCTCCTCCCCCTCCTCCCCTCTTGCTCCTGCTCATTGTCCCCTTCAGTGGGGACAACACAACTGCAGACCTCCTCCCCAATATTCTCACTCCCCTCCTCCCCCTCCTGCTCCTGCTCCTGCTCCTGCTCCTGCTCCTGCTCCTCCTCCTCCTCCTCCTCCTCCTCTTCCTCCTCCTCCTCCATAACCCACATCCTTCCCTCCTCCCTCCTCCCCCTTCCCTCTCTTTCGCATTTTCCCACTCCCTTCTCCCTGGGCACCTCTACCCCCTCCCCCCTCAAACCCGCGCCCCCCCCCCTCCTCCAAGAAAGTGGCGTAGCTGAGGATCAGGGAAGGGGTCGCCACCTGCATGCGGGAGGGTGGCGGGGGGGAGGACGACGATGAGAACCAGGGTGAAGTTCATGGGGGACGGAAGGGACACCGTGGACGAATAGAGAGCGACGAAGATGAGAAGCCAACAGGGACTTGAGGGGTGTGACCAGGGGAGACACGGGCAACCGAGGGGGAGGACAGAGGAAGGCACACCTGCTCCTCTGCCTCTCCCCCCCTGGCCTCGGTCCACCATTGACCCGAAGCCCCTCGCTTGAAGGGTCCCAGGGACACACGAAAGCGTCGACACACATCCAAGGAATCCGATGTGTATCACATATGTTCAAGGTGCTGGTTTCCCCCATCCACTTCCTGCATGTTCAATACTTCCTGGGGAGCTGACGATACTCACTGTCTCTGTGTGCATTGTTCCCTCCTGATCTCCCTGCTGCCCCTGATCCTGCCCTCTCTCACGACCGTCCCGCATCAACGCCCAACGACCGGGTGGTCGCCCCGTGTGCACCTGCTCCTGTTGCCCTGCCTCTCCGCTCTCTCCACCTGCCTCCTGGTGCATCAGCTCCCCCCACTCCCAACTCTCGCCTGGTGTTCCTTTTCGCAGCGTGGCTCCCCCAGAGGTCTGGACCCCCTCGCGAGGACCTGCTTCTCATCCTGAGTAGTGTGTGTTGACCGTCATGGGGCCAATCTGGGACCCCCAGAAGCTGAGCACTGACAACAACCGTTCGTCGTGATGCTGTCAAGACGCAACGAGGTCAGCGCTCAACCGTCCGCAAAACGGGCGTCCCAGGACCTGGATCTGGTCCCGGCGTGTGATGCGCAATCAGAGAGTGGAGGTGCGCACCTTGGAGGTGGAGGAGGAGGAGGAGGAGAAGGAGATGGTGGATGAGCAGGAGGAAGAGAAAAGGAGGAACAGAAGGAGGAGGGAGGAGGGGGCAGCAGCAGCAGCAGCAGCAGCAGCAGCAGGACTGGTGAGAGCAGGAGGACCAGGGGACGGCGGAGGGGGAAATGATGGGGGCGGCAACGATTATGTCGGGCGTGTCCCCCTACAGGGGGATTTTCGACGCAAAATAAAAACATACCCCAAACATACACCGAAAAGGTAGGTCAACAAATACTAAAAACAAATAGTCCCCAGACTTTTATTTTTCCTTTGTCTCTCTCCCGCTTGTTCTGTCTATATCTACTAGAAGCAGGGGGGTATGCTGAATATGTACATTTTACTGCGGGGACGGGGACCCCAGACCCGCCCCCCCCGGGGGCCAGGACAGCCCCAGGACGCCGAAACCCAGACTATGTTTTTGGATTATTGTTTGATTATGTTTGGGGTATTTTTAACTTTTCGTCGAAAATCCCCCTGTAGGGGGACAGGCCCGACTTTAAGGCAACGACGACGACGGAAGCCTCGGATCCAGCAGCGTGGCCCGCGCCGGGGCGGGGGAGCCCCGCTCCGAACACGACGGGAGCACAGCGCCGACGCGGACCTGAGAGCACCGCTGCCGCGGGAGAGCCCCCCGACGGTGGTCTGCCGGGATACCGTCGGGTCGTTGACCTAAGGAACCCTAAATCCGCCGACCCTGTCGGCGTGTAAGAGGGGCTTCGCTGTTCGAGTCGTCGTCTCCGTCGGTCGTCGCCTCCGTCGTCCCCTTTCCCTGCAGCTTCCTTCTCAAGCTCGTGAGCGAGAGAAAAGTCTAGCAGTGTCGTAATCGAGTCGAACGGAAGCCACTTCCCTTTGATCCCTTCCCCGGGGGGGGGTGGGGGCGCAGATTCGTTTTTCCTCGGGCGGCCTAGAAACCTCGAAAACACCCCAAATGAGGTCCGAATGCCCAAGATGGCCCCCGAGACGACCCAAGAGGGCCCCGAATCGCCCAAAGATCGGCCGAAAACGCCCAAGATAGCCCCAAGACCGTCCAAGAAGCCTCCAAGACGTCCCAGGCCCCCTCCAAGAGACCCCCAGGAAGCCCCAAGAGGCCCCCACGAGGCTTCCAAGCGGCCCCTGAGAGATTCCCAAGAGGCCCACAAACTACCCCCAAAAGGCCCCCAAGAGCGCTCGTCGTCGTCGTCGTCGTCGTCGTCGTCGTCGCCATTCAGGGTCGGCGGCACCGGCCGTAAGGCCTTCGCAATAAGGAACGAGGCCCCTTTTCTCCACAAGTTCAACTTCGACTTCCCATCGGAAACAGAGGGAAAACCTGAGGCAAGCTGCGAAACACTTAAGCAACACGGAGCCCCTCCCCCATGAAAAGGGTTCCTTCTTCAGGGCCCCGACTGTACGCGAGGGGAGAGGGAGGCATCGTCAAGGCATGTGAGCACCGCTGCAGCGGGAGCGCCCGAGACAGCCCTCTCGGGACAGGCGGGGGGAAAGAACGAATTCCACAGGATAGATGGAGAGGGAGAGAGAGAGAGAGAGAAAGAGAGAGAGAGAGAGAGAAAGCGAGAGGGCGAGAGAAAGAGAGAGGAGAGAGACAGCAGTACTACTCCTATATCGAATGATTGTGCACGGGGACAGAAGCAGGAGGAGGGGCAAGAGGAACGCGAAGGGGGAGGGAGAGGCGGAAGGGAAGGGAGTCCAACTCCTCCTCCTCCTCCTCCTCCTCCTCCTTCTCCTCCTCCTTCTCTTCTCTTCTCCTCCTCCTCCTCCTCCTCCTCACTCCCCCTCCTTCTCCTCCTCCTCCTCCTTCTCCTCCTCCTCCTGCAAGAAGAACGGGGAAGAAGGTGGCTGGGAAGGGAGACGGAACGATCGAGGAGCTGGCAAAAAAAGGGGGCACCGGCCCTCCGACGCAGTTTTGCTGGGGAGGGCAACTGCCAAGGCCTGTGCCCCCCACTCGCGGCGCGCGGGCAGGAGAGTCATGTCGGGCATGTTCTCCTACACAGGCGGGTTTTTGGAAGAAAAAAAGCATAGTCAAAAAAGGATCCAACATAGTTGAGAAATCGTCCCTTGACTAGTTCTTGACTATGTTTGAAGATTCCTCCTGTTGAATGACATGCCCGACTTAACAGGAGAGAAGTCGGATCGGCGATCGACGCGACTCGGTTCGGCGGAGAAATCGGCAGCCGAGTCGGAAGAAGTCGAGTCGGCGGAAGTCGGCAGGCTGGCATGCCCCCAATGAGAAATCGGAGCCCGAATCGGAATCCGAGGTCGAATCGAATCGGAATCGGAAGCCATCGAAATCGAATCTCGCATCCCCGAGGCCACGATACCCGGCACAACATAAAACATTCGCATCTCCGAGGCCACTATCCCACATACATCATTGAATGTTCACGTCCCCGAGGCAACGATCCCTCGTACATTGAACTATACTCGCGTCCCCGAGGCCACGATTCTTTGCAAATTTCACCATGTTCACGTCCCTGATGCCACGCTCCCTTGCAAACTACGCCGCATTCGCGCCCCCGATTCTTTGCAAATCATGACAAGATTCGCGTCCACGAAGCCAAGACCCCTTTGAAAACTCAGTGTTTTCGCGCCCCCGCGACCACGACCCCCCGCCAACTACGCTGCACTCGCGCCCCCGAATCCACGATCACGATCTCGAGTGAAGTACGCCGTGCTCACGCACCCGAAACCACGATGCTTGCAAATCACACCAGATTCGCGCCCCCGCGACCACGATACCTCGCCAACTACATTGCATACGCGTCGCCGACTCCACGATCTCTAATGAAGTGCGCCGTGCTCACGCACCCAAGGCCACGATCCCTAGTAATGTACACCACATTTGCGCCTCCGAGGCCACGACTGATTTCAAGCCATACAACAGTCGCCCCGAAGGCACGATTGAAACGCAAGATTCGCGTCTCCGAAGCCACGACCCCGTCGTACATGACGCCGTGTCCGCACCAGGGAGGCCACGATCCCCTCATATGAGATGCACGATGCTCGTGTCCATTCGCGTCTCCGAGGCCACGACCCCCTGGCAAATTGCGCAAGATATGCGTCGCCGAGGCCACGATCCTTTTCGTCAGCTCTTCAAGATGCGCGCTTCCGAGGCCACGATCCCCCAAACATTGCGCAAGACTCGCGTCTCCGAGTCCACGATCCCTGTTGTAAATTGCGCTGCTGGTTTATCACTGTTCGCGTCCCCAGAGCCACGGCCCCTCGCTGACTATATCATACTCGCGCCCCCTGGGCCACGATCTCCAGTGAACTACGCCGTGCTCACGCCGCCGAGGCCACGATCCCTCGCAAGTTGCGCTGTGTTTGCGCCCACGAGGCCACAAGCCCTGTGTAAGTGATGACATGTTCGCGTCCCCACGACCATGTTCCTTGCGGACTGCGCAGTGTTCGCGCCGATGCCACGGTCTCGAATGAGTTACTCCAGATTTCGTAATAAAAGGGAGGGGGTCTGGACCCTCCAAGACAAGCCATTTCAGACCTCCCCCGTGGGAGAAACCTCCAAAACATCGTCCCCAGACCCCCCCAGGCACTCCAAGATAGCCTGGAAGAGACCCCCCCGAAATGAGACCCCCCTCCCTTCATTACGAAATCTGGAGTACGCCGTGTTCGCGTCCCCGAGGCCACGATCCCTAGAAGACTGCGCAACGGTCGCGGCGTCCCCGAAGCCACGGTCCCGGACCCAACGACCGTGCACGCCGCGCGATGTGCCACAACGTGGCCTCGAGCAGCCCCCAGTCGTTCCAGGAGGGCCTGCAGTGCACTGCATGGGGGGGAAGTTCGAAACACTAAACAGAGGTCATCAAAACCACCTGGATCCCAATCTGCCTTGAAGATCACCCATCGCCCTCACATCATTCTTCGAGATTGCTTCACCACGGCGCCCAGGCATCCCAGCCTGGCTACTGCATGCCCGATTCTGATAGTGGAGGCCTCCTAGATTGGGTCCGAGTAAAAGAGGTCGGAGGATCCCGCTGCATCACCGATACATCGGCGATACATCGTCGATGCATCGGCGATGCGCTGGAGGCGTCGGCGATGCATCGGCGACGTCGGCGTTGAGAAAATCGGACCCCACATAAAGCCGCACCACCGACGCATCGCCGATGCATCGGCGATGCGTCGCGATCCTCCGACCCCATCTACTCCGCCCCTATCCAGGAGGCCTGGAGATAGTTAGGTCGGGCGTGTCCCCCTGCAGGCGAATTAGTGGACGAGTTGTTTTGTTATGTAAATGACCCAACAAAAATCAAACATAGTAGAAACATCGTCCCCGTACAATGTGTGTGACTAATGTTTGAAGATCCTGTAGAATTATGTTGCTCCCATCGCACTTATGGACCACATCCCGTAAATAATGTCGAGCACCCCGAAAAGTGTCGAACAAGTGCCGAAACAGTGTCGTGTCGGAGGAGTGCCTCCCAGGGCACGACGCGTGAAAACCCCCGACCTTCGGCAATTTGTTGCTGATGATCGGAATTATCCCTGGTGGTCAAAGCTGAAATAGGTTGGAAATCATACCTGCAGGGGGACATGCCCGACTGAACCTAGAGCAGCAATATCGGCGGTGGAGGGCCACGCCCTTCCAAAGAAACACCCCGCAGCCGCCCCGGGACGGGCGCCCCAGCTTTGCGGAGCAGCCTGTGTTGAGTACTGTAGGGGCCCAGGGACGCACAGATAAAACACACACACACACACAAATCTCAGGATTCCCTATATCTTCTGCGTTTTCATCCTCCCCCGCCACTGCCCCTGTCTTGCCCACATGTCTTCTGGGGAGTCGACGATTACTTGTTTCTGTGTGTGTGCTTCTTTCCCTCCACCAAACAAACATGGCTGGACGGCCTGGGGCCTCAGGGTTGGGGTCTCTGGTGGAAGGTTGCTTGTGGAAGGACCCCCTGCTGTACATCCTCCTGCGTCCGCCAGCAGAGAGCGGCGACCCGAACCTCCGCCCTCTGCCAGCTGCCGAAACGCACAGGGGGGGGAGGGGAAGGCGGGATCCTCCGCCTGCGCCTCCCTGCTCTGCCTCTTCCTCCTCCTCCAGCCTCCTCCTCCTCCTCCTCCTCGCTCCTCCCCCCCTCCTCCCCCCCATCCTCCCTCCTCCTTTTCCTCCTCCTCCAGCTTCCTTCTCCTCATCCTCCTCCCCCTCCTCCTCCTCCTCCTCTTCCTCTTCCTCCTCCTCCTCCTCCTCTTCCTCCTCCTCATCAAAATTCTTCTCTCTTTTTTTTACTCGAGGTAGATCGGGCGGTGCCTGGTACCTGCAATCCTCCTCCTCCTCCTCCTCCTCCTCCTCCTCCTCTTCCTCCTCCTTCTCCTCCTCCTCCTCCTCTTCCATCTCCTCCTCCTCCTCTTCCTCCTCCCTCTCCCTCTCCCTCCTCGTTCCTCTTCCTCTGACATCCCTGCTCTCCTGGGGGAACAGACAGGGCACCAATACCACTGCTCCCCAGAACTCTTGCGCGCTGCGCTCTGGCCAAGACCTCGAGCCGAACCTATCAGTGGCGACGGCGGACGAGTCCGCCGACCCCCGCTTGCTGGGGGTGCGCAGGCGTGTGAGGTGACTTGCCATCCCCCTCCCCCCTGCCCCTTTCTGGGTGACCCAAAACGGGGTCCAGCTGAGAGGGGGTGATGCAATAGATGTGGGGCAATTGCATTGCAAATGCATTGCGCTGGAGCATTGCATTGCGTTGCATCGTACTGCAAGTCGCATGTAATGCATTGCGCACGAACATACAGCAATACATTTGCGCCCCGACATGTATCGCACGTCTCTACTGCGTTGCAACCGCACAAAATCTACTGCACCGAATCTGTTGCACCACCTCCTTATCGCTGGACCCCCGTTAGGGTCAACCCGACCCTTTCTCCCTCCCCCAGGGATCAACATGTCGTTTGTGTGGGGGAAATTCTGGGCTCGCAAGGCACCCCCAAAGACTCCATGAGCCTCCAACTCTGCCTCCCGTGGCCTCAAAAGACGTTCCAAGACGGTCCCGAATCGCGGAACGTTTGGCCCAAGACGCCCACGATGGCTCCAAGACGCCCGAAAACGTCTTCGAGACGCCCCGAGAGCCTCCCCAAGAGGCTCCGAGGGGCAAAAATCAATGGCTTCCCTGTGGTTTAGCATTGCTTCTGGGGCGATCATCTTCTCGAGCTTCCGACGCTCCAAGACGGCCCCGTAAACAGTCCCAAAACTGCCCACGGGGCCCCTACGAGGGCCCTGGGACGGCCCAAGAGGGTTCCAAGACGGCCCAAAGTGGAGCCACAGACGGCCAAAGATCGCCCCAAGAGGTCCCCAAGAGAGGCAAAGAGGGAGAAAACGTACGATCATCCCCATGTTGCCCCCCCCTGGGACCCATCAAAGGCCCCAAGAAGCCCGTAAGCGGCCCAAGAGGCCCCCCAAAAACCCTCCAGAGGGCCCCACGAGGCCCCCCAAAACGAGGCCCCAAACCGGGCCCCAAGACGCCTCGAAGCTGCCCCCACGAGGCTCAGCTGGGCCCTTACGTGAACAAGACGCCCCTGATGGTGCCAAAGCAGCGCACGACGCCTCAACCGTGGACCCCCCGCCTCTTCTGGGGGTCGGCGGAATGACGTAAGCCTGTTGACTTCAACATCAAGGTCCGCGCGGATTTCTTGGATCGGCGCCGGGCCGCCCTTCCTAGCGGGCGGAGGGCGCCAGAAGCGGCGCCGCCAGGGGGGGCCCAGCGCCGACCCATGACCTCCGCGCGGAGCTCAACACATCCAAACCTATGCCACTGGTTCTGCTTCGATCCTCCCTCCCCCCTCGTCCCTCCTCCCCCTCTGCCGCCGTGCGCCGCGCGGCCTTGAGCTCGATGGCCGCGTCGTAGGCCGCCCGCACCGTGGCGGTGGTGCCCAGCGACTCCTCGAGGTCGATGGCGAGCGCCCAGAGCTGCGGGGGCAGCGAGCGCACGGCCGTCGGCCGCTGCCCGGCGTCGTGCTCCGTCGCCGGTGGCCGCCGTCGGAAGAACCCCCGGAAGATCCGCCCAGCTTCGGGCCCCGTGACGCTCCGGCTGCACCTGGCCATCGCTCGGACGTCCATGCCCTGTGTTTTTTTCGGTTTCGTGCGTGGTTTTTTCGCCGAATGATCAAGGATGCTCCTCAATGGTCCTCGCCGAAGGAAACAGGCACACGTCCGAGCGATGCCAAGGTGTCGGGCCCCGCGACGCTCCAGATCCACTCGTGATGCAGAAAGATCGGGTCCAGGGCTCTGGTCGTGACTGTTCGCGGTGTTGCACCTCTTGTCGCACGGTCGGACCTCGGGGAAGCGGGGAGCCGGGCGGGGGTGGAGGAGGAGGCGTGCTTGATCGACTTCAGGCTCAGTCTTGTGCAGCCTCTTGTTTTGGTATGGGCTTCGCCCAGGATCATCCGCAGACGCCCTTAGGACGCAAAGGAACAGCGAGCAGGAGGCGGGAGGAAGGGGGGGTGGGTGGGAGGACTCGGGCGAGGGGGAGAGGGCCGAGACGACCAGCAGCGAGGGGGAGGCCAAGGGTAGCTCGCCTTCGGGGCAGCTCCAGCCTGCGCCGCAATACTCCAACGGGCGAAGAGCGGTATCAAATCGGGGATCTTCTGACCCGCGTCAATCCAGACCCAGGTCAGCAAGAAACCAAAAACTGCAATGCACGAAAAACAAACTGGAACGCAGGTCCTCGCAAACCCGGGTCAGCCAATACGCGCGGCCGCCTCGCGGCCACGAGCGGCTCGCTAACCCGGGTCAGCCAGAGGGGGGCTTCGCAGGATCCTGCAGGATCTGGTGCCCTGGCTGAACCCCGTTAGCCCAAGACGGCAGCAGGCAAGCGGCGCGTGCGCGGCCAAGATGCGAGGAGGGGGACGCGGGGAGTCTAACTTTGCTTCACCTTTGTGAATCCGAGTTTGCAATGACCCCCGTCTCGAGGCTCTCGAATCAATACTTTGCTCCGTCGCCGGGAGCGCCTGTTCCAGGGCGGCTGGGAAGCTTTGTGCCCTGACACTGACGTGCCGCCGTGGGGGTATCGACTTTCCAGACGCCAAGGGCAGCTCGCCTTCGGGGCAGCTCCAGCCTGTGCCGCAAGACTCCAGCGGGCGAAGAGCGGTATCGAATGCTTTGCTACGTCGCCGGGAGCGCCTGTTCCAGGGCGGCCGGGAAGCTTCTATAGGCCCTGACCCTGACGTGCCGCCAGGGGGGCACTCAACTTTCCAGACGCCCTGGGACAGGCGTCCCTGGCGGAGGGACAGTTTATGTTCTACCCATTGGTCTTAAGTCGGGCCTGTCCCTCTACAGGGGGACTTTCGACGAAAAATAAAACATACTCCAGAAATAATCAAAACATAGTCCCAAAATAGTCTGGGGACTATTTTCTAAGATGTTTTGACCTTTGGGGGGCATTTTTGGTGTATTATTTATGCTTCGTCGAAAATCCCCCTGTAAGGGGAAACGCCCGACATAACATTGGTCGGAAGAAGTGGGGGTAGAAACAAGAAGAAGGAAGGCGTTGGGAGCAGATCGGGTCTCCGCCCGACCCCCGGAGAGGACGGAACAGGGGCAGCCGCTCGCTCATCGAAGTAGGACGGCGCTTGACGTGGATTGGAGTCTGGACTTCCAAAAATACCTACGTTCAACGACCAATGGGTACCGTTAGGTCGGGCATGTCCCCCTACAGGCGGAGCTTCGAGGAAAAATGACAAATAGCCAAACAAATACTCAAACATAGCCGACTAAAAATAGAAACATCGTCTCCCGACTATGTTTTGACAATTTTTTGATAGTTGCTCCTGTCGAGGGACCAGCCCGACGTGAGGGTACCCTTCTTTGCCCGCCCCCCAACAACAACAACAACAACTGGTGTTAAGTCGGGCCTGTCCAAGAGGTATGCTCAAAAATAATAGAAGGTAGTATGGGGAGGATTTGCTTTCCTATGCTTGACCATGTCGGGATCTGTTTTGGGCATTTGTTATGTGACGCCCAAGATCCCCATGCAGGGGGACAGGCCCGACCTAAAACTGGTGCTCGGAAGCCCGTGCCCGCGCGCCAGCGCGGCCGCCCCCCGCAGAAGCCCCCCCCCCCCCCGAGGCCTCTGAGGGCGCTTCGCAGGCCTCTTGGGCCGTCTGGAGGCCGTCAAGGCGTCTTGGACAGATCGTTCGGCGACTCGGGGTTCTCTTGGACTGTCTTTGGGGCCTCTGGGGGCACTATTGGCAGGTCTTGGCGCTTTTTTGGGCTCCGGGACTCCCAGGGGTATCTGACCCCCCCCCCCCTCCCGGGACCCCCCCCCCACCCCCTCCCCCCCGGCGGGGGAGGGATCGAAGGGAAGGGGCTTCCCTTCGACCCGATTACGGCGTTGCTCAACTTTGCTTTTGCTGGCGCGCTGAGGAGGTCCCTGGGAAAGGGGGGAGCTTCGACGAGCCCAGGGAAAGGGGGGAGGCAGGGAAAGGGGACGACAGAGACGACGACCAACGAATGACGGAGATGACGACTTGAACGGACAAGCCCCTCACACACGCCATCAGGGTCGGCGGATCCCACGTAAATCCACCCCTAAAGCCATCGCTGAGCCCAGGCATTCAAGGGTTGATCAACGTTGTTCGACACACACACACATTCACACACACACACTCACACACACACGCACACACAAGCACAAACACAAACACACACATACACACAGACACACACACACACACAAACACACACACATACACACACACACACACACTGTAAATCCACACTTGAATCCAGGGGTTCTAACGGTGGATCTACGGAAGAATAAAGAAGGCATAAACATAAACTGCCGAGGAGAGTGGAATAAAGCCCCGTGCATTTATCCATTCCCTGCCGAGGGGAGTGGAGGGGTGGGGGCAGGGGTACAGAAAGGGAGTCCCATGAGGGTGGGGGGGAGGGGTACGGGGGGGGGTCCTGGGTCAGAATACCGCACCCACTGGGGTCCAGGGGGTGGTCGCCAACCGGGGTCTTGGGCGAGGTCAAACCTTCAAGGTCGGCGGCATCGGCCGTAAGGCTGTCGCAAGCATCCGCGCAGCACTTGCACAAATATTCACCCCTCTGGCCATCAAGTCTGAAACATGAATCTTCTTTTTTTGAAACATGAGTCTAACATTGAAATGAAGCCGCCCCCCCATTGTGGAGCTGTTAAGCCGAGCTTCTAAACGTTCAGAATGAAGTTGTTGCAGGCGATAACCAAACATTGACAACAAACCGCCCTCCATCCACGCAGCTGCTGACACATTATGAGGCGCATGTGTTCCGCGCCCAAACAAAATAAACAACGTGTGATGATCCCCCCCCTCCGTGTAACCATAACTTGCAATCCAATAGAAACCACTTGCTGGAAGACATCCCGGAATGAGCACTGCAAAAAGATCCGTTCTTCTCCGAGTGGTTCCTTCCTCCTGCTCCTCCTCCTCCTGCCGCGAAGTGTCCCCCGCTACACAACTTGCTCTTCGTGATGGCTCTTAGCTCGCTCCCCCTCGCCCTGCCAGCCTTGGTGGAGCGGTACAGACGGTTCTGCACCACCTGCGCGTCCTGCGGGAAGTATGAGGGGCAACACAATCCTCAGTCCTCGATGGTCGACTCCGACGAAAGCCTCGACCCTCGATCATTGACGAAAACCTTGATCCCCGACGAGAACCTCGACCTCCGACCATCGAACCTACGGGCTCTGCCTCCTCCGAGGGGCAACGACAAGGAAAGAGGCCCGCTCAGGGGTAAACGTCGACCAAGAATCGGCGACATGTCGCCGACAGACCGGAGGGTCGTGAGGCTACGAGATCAGGAAACCTTCGATGATGGACCTAGGCTCCGGAAACTTGTGAAAAAGGCCACTCGAAGCTTGGCCATGGATCTCACCGCCGCCATCACCGGGAGGAAACCTCCAGGGTCTGAGGCCTCCCGGGCACGTTATGTGACCAACGGCCCATCGTAGCAAAACCGCGCTCTCCTGGGCGGGGGCGAGCTGTCCTGGGAGGGCAGAACACCGAGACCAGCACCAAACAACGCGTTCTCTATCGAGTTGGGAAGTCCGCTGAGAGCGGCAGCGGGCCGAGCGGAAGGGGGCGCCGCTTCCCTTCCGCTCCCAGAGCGGCAGGAAACTGCGCCCACGAGCGGGCGCAGTGAGCCGAGAGGGGCGACCGCGCGAGGACTCGCGGGCGAAAAACATATCCGTAACCACTGCTTCGCGGGCGAGGCCCCTGGGTCGTGACTCCGTTGACGCGGGGGGGATTTTTTTCGTTCGCGGATGTCCTGCGCGGAGCGCGCAGGAAGGGGCCCGACCACAAGATACCTTCCACCAGAAACCCAACCCTGAGACTCCAGGGCGTCCATTGATTCTTGGCGTGGGAACGTCGCGCTTTCCATGGCGAAACCATCGAAACCCACAAAATCCCAGGGCACACTGGAGGCAAGCAGGGTGTTTCTTGGCATGGCCCCCCCAATGCACGGGACATTTTTGTGTTCGCGGATGTCCTGCGCGACGCGCATCCGCGCGACCGCGCGCCCGCGGGGCCGCGCCCCAGAGCCCAGACCGCGAAGGCGCGGAGACGACCGCGCGATCCGCTCGTGAAGGGCAGGCCGGGCCGCGATCGAAAAGCTGATGAAGGGGCCCAAGGACACACAAATAAACGCACATAAATCCCAGGACCCCCCTCGAGGTTCCATATGTTGTGGATCGTCGCCTTCCCATCCACTTCCTGCGCTCCTGGGTCTCGACGTTGAATTGAGCCTGTGTGCGTGCGCGCGTGTGTGTTTTCCCCTCCTGGACATCGTGGAACCTCGTGGCCACTCCCGAGGCCCGAAGCAGAACCACCTGGACTAGGAGCAGAGGCCCCTCAGCTAAGCCACGTGGCCATGCAACATCCAAACGGGAGGCGCCCCTCGGACGGCGGGCGCCGCTCCCCCCTCGCAGCCGCCCGCCGAGCAAGCTGCAAAGAAAAAACGAAACGGATTGCCGCGCAGACTGCCACTCGCAAGACAGATGCGCGACCGGCCTTGACGCTGCACTGCCCGCGCCCTGCCCCGCCTGGCAGACGCCTGGCAGCACTGCCCATGGACTGCGTAGGGGCACGGTCGCGTCCTGGACCCTCTGCGCGCGGGCGCGCGGGGCGCCTTCCGGGGGCCCCATCCCGCCAAGAGAACAACCCATTCCGACTCCGAGAGAAGGTTTCGGCCCTGTTTTCCTCGTCTGCCAAGTGCACTTCGCCGCCAAATGGCGCTGGCCACCCGCGTGTGCCCCCCGCGCGCGCGCCGCCAGAAGTCGGCCCACATGGCCAGGGCGCGCGAAACATGCAGTGCCTCGCCGCGCGGTACCCACGCGCGCAGGGGCAGGGCCACCTCCGCTGGCCGCCGCCGCCAAGCTGGCCTCAGTCACGGCAGGTCCAGCGCAGCGCCTGCCGCAAAACTGTTGAAAAAACAGAAACATCAGCGACTCTGCGCGAAACTTCGGCACCTCTGCCAAGTCCACTTGCTACGGCGGCGCGTCATCGGGCGGGCGGCCCCCGCTGCGGTCTAGCGAGCCGCCAGCGTGGACCTGGCCGCCTCGGCCCAGGCGGGCGCGCGCAATCCTCGGCGTCGGCCTCCGACGCCCGCCCGAGCGCCTTGCGCGCGCGACGCCCGACGAGGGCAGCGATGGAATCGAGCTCGTCCGCGCGAGGCTCGGGGCCGACCGCGCTGGCCCGCTGGCCTGCCCCAGCCGCTCGCCCAGCCCAAGCGCCCGCTGCGGCGCGTTGCCGAGCGCCGGAGCGAGCGCGCGCGAGGAGGCGAGAAGGCGCGCGCGCGCTCGTCAGCATGCGACGCCACCCACTCGACCTGCATCTCCCCCGCTCCCCTAGCTGCCGCTCGCCCCCGCGCCCGCTGCCGCGGATTCTCGCTCGCGAGGCTGCGGTCGCAGGTGGCCGACAGGCGAGAACCTCTAGGCGCGCCGCGGCGGCGCGCGGTCTGTCGCGACACGCATCGCGCCCGATGCGGTTTCAAACGCGAGCGCGGCTGCAATCTCGGCCCGCGGCGCTGCCGGCCGCGAACCGACGAGCGGCGCAGAGCGCCCGACAGCGGCCGGCCACTTGGGCGAGGACAGCGGTCGCAGCGCCGCGCCCCTGCCTTCTCGGATCGGCGGAGAAGCGCTCGCCTGAACCGTCACCGAAGGCAGCGACCGCGCCCGTGGAGGCGCGGCAGAAGTCGAGCGGCCCCCCGATGGCCACCGCTGCCCGCGCCAACTTTCCATCTTCGAAGGTCGGCGTCGCGAGGTGGGCCAGCGCTTCGCTCTGCGGCCGCGACGACGGCCCCGCCTCTCACGGCCCGCCAGCGTTCTCGGCGGGAGCGTGGTCGACTTCGAGAAAAACTCGCCGCCGTCGCAATCGGCGAACGCCCCGATCCTGTGGGTGGGGGAATCTCGGGGGCCCGCGCGCAGCGCCTGCTAGTGCCGTTGCTTCGGAAGTAGCCTGCCCGCAAGCACCGCTCGCGCTGCCACTGCCCGCCTGGCGCGACCGCCAGATTGAGCCTTCCTGCTGCGGCCGCAGCCAGGGCCGCCGGGCCCAGCGCCCAGCCCACCGCCCGGCGGCCGAAATCGCCTGCGGCAGCGCCCCAGCGTTCCAGAAACCGCGCGACTCGCGCACCAAGGCCGCCCCCGCATCTGGAAGATGCGATGCGCCGGAAGCGGGGCCCCCCTTCCAGGAGGCGGACCTCGGCCCCCCGCCGCGCCTGCCTGCGCCCCCCCGCGCCGCCGCGCCGAGGCCGAGGTCGACGGCCTATAGCGCCAGCTGGCAGAGGCCCGCAGCCACTTCCAGCGCCGCAGCCACCTCGGCGCCCACGGACCATTCCGAGGCCAGTTCATTCGACTTTTTCGCGCAAGACAGCCCCTGCTCGCCCGCCCCCCCCTCATGGGCCTCGGCGACTTCCAAGGGGAAAGCGACCGCCGCCGCTCGGGGGCCCTCCGCGCGCGCGACGGCATCGCCCACGGAGCTTCATAGCCCGGCTTGGGGGGAGAACGCGCGCAGCCTCGTCAAGATGGGGCGGAAGCAAATAATGCCCAAAAACTGACTCCGTGCCCGGCGCCGACCACCGCCGAACGCGTCGCCTCCACTAGCGGGGGCAGCCCGCAGAAACGACCCCGCAGCAAGCGCGGCGTCAGAAGCATCTGCTCCTCGAGGCCGACCACGTCCACAGGGTGATCGAACCTCTCCGCGATCACCATGAGCTTGGCGATGGACGCGCAAACGTAGGAGGTCGACACGTCCATCAGCAGCGCCAAACAAGCCAACACCAGGTCCTAGCCTGCCTCTTCCGTGGCCGAAAGAAGCAGCACCGCTGGGGATCGCATACTTCCAGAACGCGCCGAGGCCCTCCGTCCACTCGGAGGCGACTGTGGCCCGAGCCCGCGACCAGATGTTAATCGGCAGCGGGCGCGTGTCGATGCTGCGCTCCCTGCCCATCAGCTTAGCCAGGGTTGCATCAACCGCTGACGCCGAGGATATGTCTGGGTCAGCAGCCGAGCCGTTCGCACGCCGTGAGCAATTGCAGCAGCTCCTCCTGTTTCTCCTGCGGCAGGCGGGTGGCGTCGTCCGCCCATCGACGCCGCGGGCCTTGCGCAGCCCGTGAGCGCGAATGCCCCGGACAGAAATGGCCGCCACGTGCTTCTCCAATTCGTCCCACGTGCCGGTGGGGCCTACAAGAAGGCCACCCTATCGCTCAGCCATGGGGCGCATCGCTCCCCAGGGGTCCGCCACCGTCGAACAAACCACCCGCGCCTACATCGGTTGAGGCGACGCATCCTTGACGTGACGGCGGGGCGCACCGGGCTTCGACAACAACATCCGCTTGGCCCAGGGAGCGAACTCGCGCGGCTGATTAAAGAACGTCCTGCGAGCTGCTGTGGCTGGCCACCAGCGAACGATCAAAGACAACAGCCATGGTCTCCAGCTCGTCCAACAGGCACCTCACCCACGCAACCGAACATCACGTCCCACGCCTTGATATCCTGCTCGGCGACGTTCTTGCCGAACCGCTGCTGCTCGGGAGCCCTCCATCTCAAAACGGCCATCTGATTAAGGTGCGCAATCACCAAGCACGGGTTGGTGGCGCATGTTGCGTCGGCCTGGCGTGGCCTTGACAGCGACCGTAGCCATGCGCTCTATCGCAATATACCTGCGCCTCTCCATCTTCGAAGTGATGCCGCCAACGTCGACGAGAGCCGACACCACCACCCTGGCCAGCCATGTCGCGCACAAACCACTGACCTCGTCACCTCCAGCACCAGCCAGACAACAAGGCGATGATCGCCCATGAAGGCCACGCGTCCACCTCCACTCCAAAACTCCCCTGGGACTGCGGCAACAACAACACCGTGCCAGCACTCCGCCGTGCCGTCGCACGCCGCCTCGCGCGGCCAGGGTCCTCGCGCGCCGCAGCGCAAGGCAGCATGGCGGCGCCAACATCCTCGCCAGCGCACGAACTGGCCGCGTTGGCCGCCGCGCAGGACGCCCGGGGCCGCTTCCCCCAGCCGCACATGGGCCAGGCAAAAAGTGCCAAGGGTGGTTCAGGTTTCGTTCGCCCAACTCAACCTCTTGCTGACCACCGGCACCGCTTGCCCCCGGGGATCGCGAAGCCAGGCAGCGGGACGAAGCCCATCAAACCTTAGGTCACGCATGTCCTCCTGCAGGAAGATTTTGGGCGAACCATAAAAAAAGGGCCCCCAACAATTCCCCAAAGCGAAACAAAACGACAAACATCGCCCCCAGACCCCCACCCCCCTCCACATCATCATGATCCTCCTCCTCCTCATCATCGTACTCCGTCGCGTATTCCGTCGCCTCCATTCCCAATCCTCACCACCGTCCGCACCGCTCGCCGTCGTCGCCAGTCATGACCGCCATCGCGCGCTTCAAGCAGAAACTGAAGCGTCCCCGATATCGGCGGCACTGGCCAGAGGCCTCCACAATACAAACAAATCGTTCCCATAATGGTTTTGGACTATTTTGGAGTACTCCTCCTGTGGAGGGACACGCCCGACCTAACTTGACGCCTGGAGGTCGTGCTGCGTGGGGCTTGCGGCGACATCGGGACGCGGCTGCGGCTGCCAGGGCCGAGGCGAAACCGGCCGCTTTCCCTTCAAAACCAGCCGCGCGCCACGGACACGCAGCTGCAGCCGAGGACGAAGACGAGGAGGAGGAAAACGAGGAGGACGAGGAGGAGGAGGAGGAGGAGGAGGACAAGGAGGAGGACTTGAAGGAGGAGAACGGCAACGGCAACGGCGGCGACGACGACGCCGAAGACGACGACGACGAAGACGACGACGATCGCGGCGCCAGTGACGACGGCGGGGGCGACGACCCCGACGGCAGCCGGCGTCGGTACCCGCGGCGGCCCCGCGGGAGCACCCGTGCCAACGACCTGGGCCATGCGAGTGGCACGCCGCAGCAGATCGCCTTGGCATCGAGATCGGACCGGCTCGGGCTGGCCTTGGGCGTGACCTGCCCAGACCCCCTCGGGCCATGAAAAAACATAGCGGGAGGCGTTTCGCGACGTTCGGCCTCCTGGGGCCCTCGCTGGGCTTCGGGACCGTCGCTGGCCATCGCTCGGACGTCCATTTCCTGTGGTTTTTCCGGTTTCGTTCGTGGCTTTTTCGCGAAATGATCAGGGATGCTCCTCGATAGTCCTCTTCGAAGGAAAAATGCACACGTCCGAGCGATGCCGAGGTCAAAAAAGGAGTCGAGACGAAAAGCCGGTCCCGTTGACTGGGTCGAGACTTGTGGGGGCCGACGCCGTGAGAAAATCATGACTTCGGGGCTCTTGGTAAGAGGGGGGCGATACAGTGAGGGGGGGAGACGCGTGCACCTGCCGTGCCCCTTTTGGGCGCCAGGGGGCCCCTCGTCTGTTCTGGTCCCCTCTTAAGACACACGAGGCGCACCTCTTTTTCCCAGACATGCGACGTCTTCATTTTGTTCAGGAAGGCGTCCCTGAAAGTCCCGACCCTTCCCCCGGGACCGGTTTTTCGTGCTGGATCGTTAATTGACGGTCCCGAGGCCGGCGAGGGGCCTCCCATCGACGCGATAATGTCTGGGTTCGACCTCTCCACTTGCCGCGCCCCTGCGACTTACGCAACACCCGGCGGTCGAAATCGACACCGGCATCGGACCGACCGGGCCGAGGGGGAACCCGAGGCAAAACAGTGACAAAGAAGGGCGAGATGCCACCGGCCCTCTGCGCGCAGGCGGCTTGGGGCCTCAGTCAGTCCGTGCCGCCTTCTGCTCCCCTGGGGGGCCCTACGGCAGGCTCGTGTCGTGACGGCTTTCGCGTTGGGGTCCGACGCCGCGCAGATCGTTCGACCTTCAGCGAGCGCGGCACTACTAGGCGGCGAGCCCTGCAGCTTCACGCGCGGGATCAGATAGCAGACTCGAAGCCATGCTCATAATTCATCGGAACCGAATAGCTCTGGACTCGGCGAATTAATTCACAACCGCTTCGTTAACTCAGCGCAACTGAACGTAACTGTAAGATCACTTTCATGGCCGAAAACACAAGTGAATCTAACTGAAGCTAACCAAACCTAAATGGAAGCTAGCCAAACCTAAATGAATGTGAACACTTCGCGTCGGCGGCGTTGCGCCGACGCCTTGAACCGATGCAGCCCTTCATGGGGCCATCTCCGGGAGCCGTCTTGGACATGTCTTGGGTTGCCCCCCCCCCTCCCTTCCCCCTTTCCCTGCCCCCGTTGCAGCCGTCCATGCCCCCCACGTTCCCCTTCTCCTTTGCTTGCCCCCGCTGCAGCCGTCCATGCCCCCCGCGTTCCCCTCCTCCTTTCCCCCGCGGTCTAGTCTTCGCGGGGGCCAGGTGTCACAAGGCGTGCCCGTAGACGAGCGACAGACGAGCGATAGACGAGCGATAGACGAGCGATAGACCAGGGCGGTCTATCGCTCGTCTATCGCTCGTCCATCGCCCTTCCCCCCGCGCTAAATAAATCGTTCGCCGCTTTTCGGGCCCAGGTTTCCGACGAAGGCAGCGGCGTGGATCTAACCGTGGAAGTTGGCCCCCCCCTTTCCCTGCCCCCGTTGCAACCGCCCCTGCCCCCGTTGCAGCCGTCTTGCCCGTCCATGCCCCCCACCCCCGCGCCCCGCCCCTGATCCCAGGGGCTCGCCGCTACGGCGGGGAACCCGCGCAATACTAATTGAGAGTAACCGCGAAGCCATCTGAAGCTAAGTAAAGCTATCTAAAGCTAAGTGTTGACAAGAAACCAGAGCCGAAATTATTAACCAAACCTAATTGAACCTTTCGCCGCGCTGTGGTTAACAACTGGATAAAACCAGGTGCGCCAACAATTATAAATCGGATCGCAAGCCTGGCACTTACATCGATTTAAATGGTATGTGAATTTTACTTATGACTTAGTGAGGGGGTCTCCTACAGCGACCATTAGCAGGCCATGGCTGTTAACTTCTTGGCCCGCGGAATGAAAACACAAAAAAACGAATTTGACAGACGAAGCGCCTTGAAATCTTTAAAATTCCGCTGAGCACTGATTTTTGCACGGCCTGTTTTGCCATCGGCTGCTTTGCAATATTCAGAATTCCACGAGGCATTGATTTTTGCCAGGCATGTTTTGCCATGGGGCGATGTGTCATCGATTCAAACGCGGGGAACCCCAGGCGATGCTCATTGGTACAACGCCCAAAGGGTTTCCGAAACAAGCAGCGCACATGTTGGATTTGGCGCGCGGCGTACGCGAGTGAGAAAGCAGCCGCTTCTCTAGGGCAGCGCGCGCCTTGAGGGGACGCAAGCTTCAACGTGCGAGCGCGTCCACCGCGCAAGCGCAAACGCTACGAGCGACGGGAAAAACCGTCCGCTGCTCGGCGATGCGCACACCTGTCGCGACATCACTCGAGAACGTCGCAATACCATTTGTTTCCGTCCAACTTTGAAGACGGCGCTGCGTAACCAAAGCGCGCGCGGGCGCGCCAAAATCGAAGCAAACACGCACGCGCACACGCACGCACACACACACACACACACACACACACACACACACACACACACGCACACACACACACACGCACGTGCACGTAGCGAGCCAAACTTTTGAGTCGCGACGGGTACAAGCTAGACCAGGGCGCGGCTAACATAATTGACGGCAGCGCAAACATCTTTCTCTCTCTCTCTCTCTCTCTCTCTCTCTCTCTCTCTCTCTCTCTCTCTCTCTCTCTCTCTCTCTCTCTCTCTCTCTCTCTCTCTCTCTCTCTCTCTTTCTATATATATATATATATACATTATCATCTGTAAATGGAAACAAAGAAAACGGATCGCGGTATATTGCCCAGCAGCCAGCCCGGAAACGCACCCGAACGGGCTCCGTGCCCCACGGGTGCCACAAGGAGAATTGTCGAATGCCGACGCGCACTTCCGCGCCGCGAAAGGGCCCCCATGCCGCTGGAGCTTCCGCCACCGCCCACCCTTTCCCGTAGTGCAAGGTTTCGTCGTCTCAAACGCGCGGGTCCGCAAGCGATGTTGCTTTCTGGAGCGCCAGACGGCTTCCCCGCAATATCCGCGCGCATGTTGGGCTTGGAGCTTAACGTGCGGGACATGAGAAACGTACTGATTATACAAAGCAGCGCGCGGCCAGGAGAAGCGCGAACTTAACCGCCGCGCAAGCGGGAGGAGCATTGGCCGAAGAACGGCCGTGACCCGGCCTCCGTCGGCCTCCTCAAAAGGCCCCCGACAAATTCATTTTCAGTTGCGGCACTTATATGTCGACTTCTATATTCTGGAAAATGCTGAATTATCCCGCGCGCGCGAGCGCCGGTGACCCGGCCTCCGTCGGCCTCCTTAAAGGGCTCCAGAAAAATTTAGATTTAGTTTTGGGAATAATATGTTGACTTTTAAATTCTGGACAATGCAGAACTCTCCAGCGCGCGCGAACGCCGGTGACCCGGCCTCCGTCGGCCTCCTTGAGGGGCTCCAGAAAAAATCAGATTTAGTTGCGGGAATAACCTGTAGACTTTTATATTGTAGACAATGCAGAACTCCCCACGCGCGCGCGCGGGTGACCCGGCCTCCGTCGGCCTCCTCAAAGGGCTCCAGAACAGAACAAAACAAACAACATGTTCAAACGCGGCACTTTACATGTCGACTTGTATATTCTGGACAATGCAGAACTATCCCGCGCGCACGAGCGCCGGTGACCCAGCCTCCGTCGGCCTCCTGAAAAGGCTCCAGAAAAATTCAGATATAGTTTCGGGAATAACATGTCGACTTCTATATTCTGGACAATGCAGAATTCTCCAGCGCGCGCAAGCGCCGGTGACCCGGCCTCCGTCGGCCCCCTTAAAGGGCTCCAGAAAAAATCAAATTTAGTTTCGGGAATAACATGTCGATTTTGATATTGTAGACAATGCAGAACTCCCCACGCGCGCGCGCGGGTGACCCGGCCTCCGTCAGCCTCCTTAAACGGCTCTTCAACCAGCCAACCTGCCTACCAGCCGGCGCACCAGCCAACCAACACACTGGACTTAACCAAC